CAGATTTTTCTTTGGGAGGAAGGGCCTATTGTAAGCCGAAACTAAATAGCACAAACTTCAAGATGAGTAATCAGTACAACTTTGGTTAAAATGTGTAGCCTAACATTGTCTGTAGGCGATAAACCAGAATTGCAGTCAAAGGTCGTGGTCACACGGTCATTTTGATCGGGTTTCACAACTGTTCCCTATCACATTTAAAAGGGGTGATCAGACCGCCGATTCTGTCTCCCGTATCGAAGCGGACTCACACCCGCAATCCTCCCGGTTTTCTAGCATGTTTTCCGACACTGGGGAAATTAAGTACTTTCCTACTACTTGCACTGTGAATCCGCAATTTCTCCTGCCTGGACAGCCAGCTATGAATGCGATTAGGTAATGTGTATGTTCTTCCGGTAGTCCTCCCCCCCCACCCGGCTTTCACCGTTGTGCGCATGACCAGTCCTGCACTGAATATATTAAATGCATGAACGCTCAAACACACATAAAACAGTGCTCGGTTACACGTCGGTAGTTCATTTTGTTCGGGCGGCACAATTTTTTTGAAAAAAATCTTTGTGCATGTGCACATATGCACATGCACAAAGAAATTTTGAATGGTGCTTGGAGCCTCGTTGCACAATGCATTTGGCTGGGCAAGGGATGTGTGATCATCTGAACCCGCTAAAAAATATCCCCGATCAAATCTACAGTGGGAACAAATCGTGGTAAGCTTAATAATAATAATAATAATAATAATAATAATAATAATAATACTTTCAATTTATTAATTGCTTTCCACAGTGGGCTCAAAGCGATGTACAGTTACACATTTTAGACAGGGGACTAACAATGTTCATAGGGGATAGGGAAGATAACATATATTCATTTAATTGCACACACTGTCACTGCATGGCGTAAACGTCTTCTGGCTTGGCTCAGTCATTTTCCGAACGGCTGCTTGTTGACCAGGCTTCAGGACCCGTATGTCAAATCGCCACACTGCCACCGCCTGGCCGGAAACATCCACTGCAGGGATTTTTGTAGCCGAGAAGTTCTTCTGCCTTTTTCCAAACCTCGACCAGGACGTCCCGACTGTCAGCTAACACCCTCCAACAAGGGAGATGGGTGTGCCCACCCTCTCTAAGGCTGCTCACACCAGCGCGGGGCTCGAACTAACACAGTTTGGATGTTAAGACAGTGGGATATACCCACGGTGCCACCGCTCACCATGTGACCACCCGTCTTTCCTAGTATGAGCCTGGATCTCAGCTTTTCAGTGTTTTTATTATTGCTTTGTTCACAGCTCCTTTCTACATGGAAAGGGAGGGGTACAAATGTCTTAAATACTTCATCAGAACACTTTTACTGCTGTCGGTATCAGCAAACTTCAAAACTAGTTTGGAAAAATATACAATATGTACAGGGGTCATTTCCTGCATGAACGCACAGGAGCGGAGCTCCGGCAGTAAGGAGCCCAGGGGGTGGGCACATGCAAGAATCCCCGCCCCCTGCTCCCAGTAGCCCTTGGTTGGGCCATGAGGAGCAAGAAGCAGCCAGGTAAGTTGCAGAGCCCCCCCAGCCCCTGGCCTGCCTTTAGGTACAAGCTCTCCCTCCTCTGTGAGGGCAGATCCCCCCCATAGCTAGCAATCCAAAACAGTCCAGTGGAGCCTGAGCGGTGGGTGTTGCCTTCTGACACACTTCCAGTGATGTCAGGGGGTGTGGCATATGCAAATGAGTTATGCTAATAAGTTATGCTAGTGAGCTCCTGCACCTCTTTTTCTACGAAATGACCCCTGAGTATATATACAATTCTTAATGAATAGCAGTCAGGTTTCTGGAGTAACTGGTGATTACAGTTTGGAGAAAGCATTTGTGAGGATCTCAGGTGAAAAGCCCATTAATTCAGTGATGATACTTATGCTTAACTAGTTGTGTGGGATTATAGCCTTATTTATATCCTGAATATCGAAAGATTTAGAGCTGGGGAACCTGAAGGGGGGGGATTGTGGTGTGCACGTTCGTCTTTCAGTCTGGAGGACGCCGTGAATATCTTCTATGAGTAAGTGCTTGTTGGGTGGTGAGCATAGCGTAGCATTACCAGGTATTGAAATCCACCTGGGTGTTCTCCCTTGTCCCAGTTCTGTTTGTCCTAGCAGGTTCTGTGAGCTGGTTTATGTTCTGTGTCTGGAAAGCTAAAAATATTTGTGAATAGGGAAAGTGACTCTCTTGAATGTCGCACCTCGTTTTTTACACTGTGATTATGGACAAAGTCCAAAAGCAAGCCCCAGTTTAAAATCGCAGTTCATTGCATTCCGTGAAAGCTGTAAACAGCAAACCATTTGTTCCCATTGAAGTATCTGCTTATATGTGTTTCTGAACAAAGAGGTTTCTTGAATTGAGGCCTGAGGCATGTGACATAGACATCCCCTTCTTTGTTTGGTTGCTGTGACCAGTTTGTCCTGGGCTTGGCTGGTTTTTTGAAGAAAAGTTTGCTTCCTTTGGATGTCATTGTGTTCCTGTCTACATTATCATATTTTATTTCATTTGAGAGAGACAAAGACAAATGTGGGTTCCTTTCCAGGCTTGATATAATTTATCCCTGCTGACACTGTAGATCCCTGTAAGTGGAGACTTCCTCCAGGACAGAAGAGCAAACAGCCTACAAATGAGCTGAATTGATTTTGCGGTTGGATTCGGTGCTTTTGCCGAAGCCGTTGCAAGGCTTTCTGTTAATTTGTCTAATGGTTTTAGGCCTAGGGAGAATGCAAGCAAAGGTTTTTGCTGTCTAATAAGTTTCAGTTGCAGACCTTGCTAATTAGAAGTCTAAGGGTGGTGGAGAATCGAGATTAGAAATCAGCATCTTCTTATGCATTTAATGTGTACTTTTATTTTCCATTTCTAGTCTGCCTTTCTTGTTGAGGCTTAAGGAGTGTTATAGAATTAGAGTTCAAAGTGATAAAAACAGCATAATATGTTCAACGATGCAGTAAAAGTGGTTAACAAAAATTAGAAACTAAGTCTGCATCGAAGACAGTGTATTTAAGATAACCCTGTGTACAAAATGATTCACCAGAAATCTTCAAAAAGGTAGCATTTGTACAACAGGAATATTTTATAGTCTCAAAATATCTAATATAAAATATTCCTGTTGTATAAATGCTACCTTTTTGAAGATTTTTGTTGAATCATTTTGTTCACAGTTTTGTTCTCATTCCTATTCCTAACTGTGTATCTCTGGTTTGTTGTATTTAAGATAACCCAGCAGAACTTCCTTCAGCCTGAATATTAAGTTATATCCAGTCATATCTATTATTGCATCACGAACTTCTTTCCAGACTTGTTTGAAAACTAAGCACTGCCAAAAATGTGTGATAACATCTAAAGTCTGATGCTGCCAGCAAATAACTAATACTGGATTATAGATGTGTCCCCATTTATATGGTGTCAGATACCATTGGTACTGGATTTTGTTTTATATTATCTAGTTCCTGCTTCTTTATCCTGGGGGGGGGGGAGGATCAGTGACTGAGATAAATTCAATACTTGCTAAATTGGATGGACCACATGCATTCTTTTTTGTTACCAAAGTACCAAGTGGTACAGATAATACCCCTGACAGTAATAGGACATAGCCTTTTTATAATGATATCATGCAGACAATAAGGGCTCCTCCACTTTCAGAAACTCTCCTTCCTGCCTAGAGATGTAAAATTTCTGGAAATTTTGAAGCTCGGAAAAAGACCCGGTTTTGACCTGGGTTTTTTCGGGGGGGAAACGGAAATTTTCGGAAAAATTGAAAAAAATTCCACGTTAGCACTTCTTTTTCCTTTTCCAGATTGAAAGTCATTCTGTTACTTTAGGAACATAAAATATGACTATGGACATTTTTACTTGGCATGAAATTATCACAACTAGCATATTAAAAATATAGTGTACGTAAACAATTATTACAAACAGAATACCCACCCACATGCAAAAACAAAACTGAAACCTTTTTCTTTTCTTGTGACAATAGCACCTCTTAAAGGAAGAAATGCATCTTGTTCTTGCATTGGAGAGTTCCGTTTGTAACCTAGGACTTGCTTGTCCTCAGTGCACAGAAATTAGATCAATCTGATACCATACATATTTTTTAGAAATGATTTGGAAAATATATTTTATTCATCATGTTAAAATAAAACGTTCCATAATCATTTTTTCTTTCTTTTCTTTTTTCAATTTTTCCATTTTTTTGGAAAAACAAAACAAAAAAGGCTTCAGGAAAAAATGGGGGGAAACAGTTTTTTCCTGAATTTTTCGGGTTTTTTCCCGGGCCTTTACATCTTTATTCCTGCCTTTGACAGAATTATTATGGGAAAACATCTGGGTGGAATATGCTTGATGCTTAATTGAAGGACCTTTGCTTATGATTTACAAGGCATGCAGAAAAGCTCAAGTTTACTGGATAGCCCAGCTTACTGGATCGTGGGAACTCTGCTGATGTGATTTGCCTGGATTTCAGTAAAGGTTTTGATAAGGTTCCCCATGACATTCTGATGGGCAAACTGGAAGACTGTGGACTGGACTATAGGATACTTCGGTGGATAGGGAACTGGTTAGAGGACTGCACCCAAAGAGTGGTGGTCAGTGGCATTTCATCAGATTGGAGGGAGGTGTCCAGCGGAGTGCGGCAGGGCTCAGTAGTCACAATATCTTGGAATAAAATTTAGATTCCTTGAATTTTTAAATTTTAGATCCATGATGAGTAAAAAAAAACACTGTTTTACTATTTTGCAATATACTGATTTCCTCAAATAACAGGACCAATAATATCATTGGTTCACTTCAAGTTCAGCAGAAGCCTTGGAACCGCCCTGTTAGCAATCACTGTAAAAGCAGTTCCGTCCCCAGCGCAAAGGCAAGATCTGCTGCAGTCAAGCTATAACAGTCAAAATGAGCTTCGCCCAGACAATGTAATTTCTTATTGTGATATTTTGCTAACCTGCAGTCCTAAAACGATTGTGTTCCTTGCCCTTTTTCAGCGACAGAAAAGATTCCTGTAATGCGTGGGCAGTGGTTTATCGATGGCACCTGGCAGCCCTTGGAAGAAGAAGAGAGTAACCTGATAGAGCAAGAGCATCTCAGCTGTTTCAAGGGGCAGCAGATGCAGGAGAACTTTGATATGGAAATATCGAAACCCGTGGATGGAAAAGAGGGTAAGAGTACATTAACAAAGATCCCTGTGGTCTTTCTTTTTATAATCTTTTATTATGTGCAAACGTGGAGTATTAGGCAAATTAAGAAGAAGAAGAAGAAGAAGAGATTGAATTTATACCCCGCCCTTCACTTGGAGTCTCAGAGCGGTTTACAAATGCCTTCCCCTTCCCACAACAGACACCTTGTGAGGTAGGGTGGGGCGGAGGGAGCTCTGACAGAAACTGCTCTTTTTCAAGAACAGCTTTGGCAGAACTATGGCTTGCTCAGGGTCATCCAGCCAGGTGCAAGTGGAGGAGTGGGGGAATCAAACCCGGTTCTCCCAGATTAGAGTCCGCACACTTAACCACGACACCAAACTGGCTTGCATTAGTCTTCTGTTTCCTCCAGGCCAGGTTGGCCAGGGGTCCTGGAGGGTTTTTTTGGCCATCTTCTGGGCACAGAGCAGGGATCACTGGAGGGCATGGGGGGAGAGGGTAGTTGTGAATTCCCTGCATTGTGCAGGGGGTTGAACTAGATGACCCTTGCGGTTCCTTCCAGCTCTATATTTCTATCTGAAAATTGGCACAGCACATAATCCTGTGTGGCAATAAAAAAATTACACAAATCTACTTGTTTTTCAAATTAGTTTTTTTCTTATATTAAGGTGTATTTTGTGGTCCTTGGTGTTCTTTGTTGAATCGCTGGTTTTGTCCTCCTGGAAAATGTTGTGACTTTATTATTTATTTTTTAAATAATCCTGTCAGGTCTCTAACTGTACCTGAGTTAGACCACCAGTCTATTTATATCTTAATTCTGGAACTTTCCATAGCTAATAGAATCATTCACTGTATTTTAGTTGCTCCATGGTAGAACGAAATGCTGTTTTTCCATGGTTAGGCTATACGTCTTGGGTTTTGAGAGTAATAACCAGTCCCCTTTTTGTGCGAGCGTGTGTGTAAACCCTGTGCATTGTCTGTAATTGAGCCATTTATCTTGTCCCATAAAATCAATTGTTACGAGTAAGCCTGTCAGCAGAGCTGGCCTGAAGCTTGAATGCGCCAGGGAGAGATGCAGCTTTGTCCGCTGCTTACACGGCTTCGCTTCTGCCTGCTGCTCCTTTCATGGTTCTGCTGCCACCAGCAGATGCCTGAATCGTTTCCTTTGCCAGAATAGATGGCTATCGGGGGAAGCATCTGGCGACTTGGCCTCTCCTTCCCGTCTGGGACTTAGGACACTATTAATGGCTAGTAATAATTTATTTATCTACTGCATTTATATCCTGCTTTTTCTCCCAAGTGCAGCTTACATCATTCTCCTAGAATCATAAGAGATGGCAGGGCTCTCCAGGGTCATCTAGTTCAACCCCTTGCACTATGCAGGAAATTCACAAATAGAAGAAGAAGAAGAGATTGGATTTATACCCCGCCCTTCACTACCCGAAGGTGTCTCAGAGCGGCTGACAAACTCCTCTCCCTTCCCCTCCCCACAACAGACACCCTGTGAGGTAAAGGAAGAAGAAGAAGAGATTGGATTTATACCCCGCCCTTCACTACCCGAAGGTGTCTCAGAGCGGCTTACAAACTCCTTTCCCTTCCCCTTCCCCACAACAGACACCCTGTGAGGCAGTGGGGCTGAGAGAGCTCTGACAGGAACTGCTCTTTTTCATAACCTCTTCCACTGCCATGCAGGTCTCTCCTGGGACCAGGCCGCACCAGGCCCTGCTCCCAGTCCTGCACAGATCATGAACATCCCCCTTTTACAACCAGCTTGTTAAACCCTGTCAGAGAATTCCAGAAGATGGGCGAAAGAAGAGTTCCTGTTTCAGAACCTTTATTGATCCTTCCTCCATAGGGATTGATAATTCCCTCTTTAATAACAGTTTCATCTCTCATCACTGTTGTTTGACTCCGTTCTTCCAAGACTTTTTAAAAAACACCTGTCTCTCCCACAGTGAAAACTGACGCAGACAGTTCATTCCGCTTCTCTGCAGCCTCCCTGTCTGCCTTTAGCGATCCCTTCATTGCTTTTTCATGTACCCGTCTCTCTGGCTGGTGCCTTGCTTCCGATGCATTTTAATATTTTTATTTATTTATTTAAAGAAATTCTTAACCGTTTGTCTTTAATGTTTTGGCAAGATACTTCTCATTCTCTTCTTGCTTGCCTCCTCATCAGTTCACATTTGTTTTGCAAACAACTCTCTGCCTTCTCATTCACCTTGTTGGGGAAAGGTTGCTACCATCGGAGGAAAATGTTCCTTCTTCTGCGGCCCCTTTGACTTTGTTCATTTATGACACTGACAGCATCTGCTGGATGCATTCTAACTGAGCTTTCATTATTGTGAATTTAAATAATTACCAAGCATCCTGAAGGGATTTGACCTTTTTAAACTTTCCCTCTGCGTTTCCTTTGAAGAAGAAGAAGAGGAGGAGGAGGAGGAGGAGGAGGTTGGATTTGTACCCCCGCCCTTCACTACCCAAAGGAGTCTCAGAGTGGCTTACAAACTCCTTTCCCTTCCCCTCCCCACAACAGACATCCTGTGAGGTAAAAGAAGAAGAAGAGATTGGATTTATACCCCACCCTTCACCACCCAAAGGAGTCTCAGAGCGGCTTACAAACTTTCCCTTCCCCTCCCCACAACAGACACCCTGTGAGGTAGGTGGGGCTGGGAGAGCTCTTGACAGAAACTGTTCTTTTTCAAGAACAGCTCTTGTCAGAACTATGGCTTGCCCAAGGTCATCCAGCAGGTGCAAGTGGAGGAGTGGGGAATCAAACCCGGTTCTCCCAGATTAGGGTCCACGCACTTAACCACTACACCAAACTGGCTCTCTTTGGATAAACTTCCTCATTTTGTAGAAGTTTACTCTTCTGAAATCAAATATAATAATGTTGGCCTTCTTGGGCAGCCTCCCGTTCCCAAATGCTGCTCTTCATGGCAGCGTGATTGCTGCTCCCAGTCAGTGCAACAACACTGACATCCCACACCAGATCCTAAGTATAACCAAGGACCAAATTCAGCATCATTTAGCATCTTATTTATTTATTTATTTAAATTTATAACCCGCCCTCGCCGCGAATGGGCTCAGCATCACCTCCCAATTAGTTGAGTTTGCCTTGGACTGGTGGTTCCAAGGCAAAATTATTTACAGTGTCTAGGGATTAATCTCTTTTCTCATGACGTAAACAGCCATCATAGGGGCTGCGGTGGCTCAAGTGGTTAAGACGCTGAACTGCAGACCGGAAGGCCTGTAGTTTGGCAGTTTGAGACCCGAGTGCCGCATGACGGAGTGAGCTCCCGTCCCTGGCCCCAGCTCCTGCCATCCTAACAGTTCAAAAGCAAGACATTGCCAGTAGATAAATAGGTACCACTTCGGTGGGAAGGTAACAGCGCTCCGTGCACCTCGGCGTCTAGTCATGCCGGCCACATGACCACAGCGCTGGCTCTGTGGCTTGGAAACGTAAATGAACACTGCCCCCTAGAGTCGGATTCGACTGGCTTTCGAGCAAGGGAAACCATTACCTTTAAACATCCATTAATCCAGCTAATAAGTGGGTAGTTGAAGTTACCTGTTGTTACACAATTTTCTCCTTTCTCCCTTTAAAGATCACCCTACATTTTCAGGTGAGTAGCCATGTTGGTCTGAGGAAGCGTGCGTGCACATGAAAGCTTATACCTGGAATTAAACCTTAAAGGTGCCGCCGGACTCAGACTTTACCCTAAATTCTGATCAGGCAAGCAATGCTATGCCACTGATAGTAAAATTTGTGCTTAGTATTTCTTCCCATCACAATTTTTGTGGACAGTCTGTTCTTCTGAAGCATTCTAGTCTCCTGGGCACAGTGTGACATTATTTATTTTATTTATGTATTTATTCAATTTATACCCTGCCCTCCCTGACGAAACAGGCTTAGGGTGGCCTACATAGAATAAACACATTAAATAGATTAAAATAATTACATTAAAGAGACGCTCCACATATTTTCCAATGGAGAGGGGGAAGAGAATATACCGATTGTGGCAAAAAAAAGGTCTAAAAAACTGATGGCGTGATGACACAAGAAAGCCTTCAGAAAGCAGACGCCATGATCATTTACGTGGAGAAAAGCTATTCATTTTAGCTGGGAATAACGGCTAGAACAAGCTCATACACTTTGCTGCAGTTGTGATTCCCACTTCGAAATTCCGTGTAGAAGCAGGGAATCATTTGTGCTTCTTTTGAGTCTGTGTGTGTGTGGTGTAATGTAGAAGCAGGGAATCATTTGTGCTTCTTTTGCGTCTGTGTGTGTGTGTGTGGTGTAATGTTGTTAACACTCAAGGTTAGGAGGGCGGCAGTCAAGTGCAACAGAATGTTCCCGTGAGCTGAGTAGGCCCTTGGGCTGTCGATGGGCTTGCATCATAGCACCAGTTCCTAGCAGGGCAGGGGGCCCTCTTCACGGTGACCTGCCAGGCTGGGACAAAGCCTGCGGGCAGGGCACTGCCGATTCTGGGAAGCCGCTGTCATGACGCACATCAGAACAAAGAGAATCGGACCGTGTACGAGACAAACAGCATTGAGCAGTGTACCTGTGTGTTCTTGGAGGAAAAATGTAGGTGGTTAGGCAGAAAGTTAAAGTCCGGGACCTCCAAGGTAGCATTATCACAGATGCTGCCTCTTCCATATTTAGAGCTAGCATGGCACTGGTTAAGAGCGGTGGACTCTGATCTGGAGAATTATGTCTGGGGCAGCGATGCTCTGTATTCTTGGTGCTTGGGGTGGGGCAACAGTGGGAGGGCTTCTAGTGTCCTCGCCCCACTGGTGGACCTCCTGATGGCATCTGGTGTTTTTGGCCACTATGTGACCCAGAGTGTGGGACTGGATGGCCCATTGGCCTGATCCAACGTTGGCTTCTCTTATGTCTGGGGCAGCGATGCTCTGTATTCTTGGTGCTTGGGGGGGCAGCAGTGGGAGGGCTCTAGTGTCCTGGCCCCACTGGTGGACCTCCTGATGGCCCCTGGTATTTTTGGCCACTGTGTGACACAGAG